CCGCCAACTTTCTGATCCGTATAGAAGAACTGACAGACTTGACGCTTGCATTGAAAATCGGAATTTTGTTGTTGAGTGCTGCTGAGTGACGAAGATTTCCAGATTGGTTTCAGGTTGATGAATGTGTTTCTTGCCTTCCCGATTCTCGATTTGACATCCTCGTCCGTTCCACCTGCCTGTAGTTGAGACAATGCTCCTTAGATAAGTAAATGAAATAACCTCTTTCAAATCCCTCCCGTTGACGGTGGTTGGCGATGGATGTTGCTGTTGCTGTTGTTGTTTTTGGTTGGTTGATTATTTTCATAACCTCCATCTTGTCTATGTTCACCTGCAGTCCTGTCTTCTCTGGCTGCTTCTTCGACCAGTTTGTCGGTTTTCGCTTGTAAGTCTTCGATTTTGTGTGACATCAAACATAAATCATCCACGCGCGAAATCCAGCTCTAGGTTCTAGGTTCTTCACGTCGGTCCAGGATATCCCCGTCTTCTCGTTTCCCACTGTTTGACGCATAATCCAGTCCACCACAATTAGGAATATCATTGGTGATAATAAGCACCCTTGTCTGACTCCTGTGTTTACTCCAAACGCTTCGCTGAGTTTTCCGTTGTGGATCACTTTACATGTGCCGTTGTCGTACAGAGCTGTTGAATAAGGTTGATGAATGTTTGGGGTACGCCGTAGTACTCGAGTAGTTTCCAAATTACTTCGCGGTCAACGCTGTCGAAGGCCTTCTCAAAGTCTATAAAGTTGAGGTAGAGATTTGATTGCCATTCCATGCTTTGTTCTGTGATGATGATGCGTAGAGTTGCAATTTGATCAGAACATGATTTACCTTTCCTTAATCCAGATTGTTCTGGTCGGAGTTCTGTATCCAGTGCGTCCTTTATTCTTTCCAGGTTGATGCGACTCAGGATTTTACTTGGCGTTGACAGGAGCATGATTCCTCGCCAGTTCTTGCAGAGTCCCAGGTTGCCCTTCTTCGGTAGTTTCACGAGTTAACTTTTCCTCCTTCCAGACTTTTTGCAATAATGGAGTCAGCATATCTGCCATCGTTTCTGGGTCCGCTTTCAGTGCTTCCGGGGGTATTCCATCTGGTCCAGCTGCTTTTCCAGCTTTCAGAAGCTTTATTGCATTCAAGGCTTCAGCTTTCGTTGGAGGATTGGTGTCAAGTTGTATTTGTGTACGTGCTGTTGTTGGTATTTCTGGACGGGTTGTAGGTGGTGGTCGGTTCAAGAGTCCTTTGGAGTGGTCCGCTCATTGTTTAATCTGTCTTTCTTCCTTGGTAATTGGGTTCCTTTTACTGTCTTTTATAGGTTTCACTTGTGTTGATCTCTTCCCGGATAGAGACTTGGTTATCTGATATAGTGTCCTCAGGTCCCTTTTGCCTGCTGCCTTCTCAGCTTCAGTGGCCAGATTGTCGTAGAATTATCTTTTGTCCTTCCTGGCACTCTTCTTCACTTCTTTGTCCAGTGCTGTGTAAGTTGAGCTCAGCGTCCCTTTCTCTTGTCCGTCTTTGCAGTGAATCATTTTCTCTTTCACTATTCTCCTGTCCTCTATTAGCTTCCAAGTGTCCTTTGAGAGCCATTCCTTGTCTTGTTTCTTCTTTCTTCCTAAAACCGTTGAACACGTTTCTTTGAAAATTACCTTCAGAGAGATCCAATGGTCTTCCACGTATGACTCCTCTGTGGTGCCACGTAGTGTTTCCTGCTTTGCTCTGACAGTTGCAGTGAAAATGTCCTGTGTGATTGTGTCCTTCAGTTTTTGCGTGCTGAACTTGCATTGTGGCCTATCCCCAGGTATCCTCGAGAGCTTTTAGCTTCACCTTGAAAGTCCCTTGTACTAGATAGAGGTCTGAACCCACATCTGCTCCTCTCCTCGATCTTGTGTCCAGTAGGCTCCATCTCCACTTCCTTGAGATTGAAATGAAGTCTATCTGGTTTTTGGTGTGTCCATCTGGTGAAATCCATGTTGCCTTGTGTATATCCCTGTGTTTGAACACACTGCCACCAATCACCAAATCATTGAAGGCGCAGAAGTCTGAGAAGAGTTCACCATTGTCGTTCATTTCACCGAGGGCCTCACGACCCATGGTGAGTTCTCTTCCTGTGTTGTCCCCTCCCAGTTTCGCATTCATGTCACCCATCAGGATTTTGATATCGCCATTTGGGACGTTGTCCATTACTGTTTGTAGTTGACTGTAGAAATCCTCCTTCTTCTCTTGTTCTGAGACGTTTGTAGGCGCATAGCATTGAATGATTGTAACCTTCTTTCCTTTTGAGTTGAACCTGGCTGTCATTATCCTGGAGGAGATTGGTTCCCACTGCATGAGAGCTTTAGCCGCTGTTGGTGACATCATGATGGCTACTCCCTCGGTGTGCTCGTGATTGTCCTCTGGGTGACCGGAGTAGATTATTGTCTCTGCAGTTGATAGTTGGCTCCTTCCACATCCGTTCCATCTGCTCTCACAGATTCCCAACACTTCCATTTTATATCTCCTCATTTCTGCGGCTACCTGAGCAGCCTTTTCTGTTCCGTACATTGTACGAACGTTCCACGTCCCCATCCTTATTTTTGCTTTCATCGAAAGAAGGCACATCGGCTGACTGGCTTCCCGAAAGCTTTCACCAGCCTGTGTCATTTCACTTCCCCGATTCCAGCGAAAAATAAGGTTATTGTTTGTATTTTTAGAATTTTTGATATATTTGTGCGTTGTAGTTTTTGTAGCAATTTGGTTAAGTTTTGGGGGTGGAGTTGCTAGCACCACGCCCCAACCCTCCCTCTTTATCCGGGCTTGGGACCGGCTAGAATACTAGTGACTTAGTAATCTAGGCGAGGTTATCTCACACCTATCCTCGATAATATTTTCAAGAAGCCTCACAATGACATAGTTACACTTAATTTCATGTGAGTGGATAAGACAAAGGATGAAACACATTTACGCATGAGTGAACCCTGAGAATGGTCGGTGTGGTAACTACAACCTGTACAACAAAGTCGATTTCAACATTCAGTGTGGTAAGTTATGATGAAAAAATACATTATAATATCACAATTATAAAATTCCTTAAGCACTAACACAAATGAGAATATGGGAACAATCTGCCGTCCAAAAGCAAAGAAAGCTCCAAGCAACAAATTACTGAAAGTTTGGGTAAACCGAGCTCCAGATATGGCACGTATTCACCAGTTGTATATGATAGGTTGTGTGGTTGACATTTCAAACTATACAAACCTCACTAGATAGAATGTACTAATGTCACAACTTAATCTGTACTGTACCAAACTTGCAACTGCTGGTAACAACAGTTTAATCAAAAAGGTTTGAATTCGCGAAACATACCCTTTAAGACATTGAAATAAGAACAAATTAGTTCAGCGAAGAGTCTCTTTTCGGCGAATTCATTCACTTAGCTGTACAGTCGCAAATATATACAATTAATTTTGTGTGTGTGTGTGTACATTAGCTTTGTCAAAATCAAAATCAAAATAACAGTTGGTGTGGGTTGTTGATTACATCCTCAAAATAATAAAGAAATTAAAATGTGTGATTAATAATCAAAGTTGTAACTAAGTGGGGTGAAGATTGGTAAGCTGTGAGTAGGGTTACGTAATATAGACATATTTAGAAAGATTAGATGCTAGTGAAGGAGTATGGAGACAATTACGGAGCAATAAGGAGCGCCATTATTGAGCATATACTCAACACTGGTCATTCGATTTGCAAGGAGAAGTCGTTCAAAGTCATCTATAAAGTTAAAAGAAGCCTTCCAAAGTCGACAAGCTTCCGTATACTTTGTATTGCCGAAGCCTTAGTGATCTGGATAGAAAAGCCTGATTTATGCACACAGAAGAAACTTCTCCACCCCCTCCTACTACCGTAGGTTTAATTTCAAGTTTATCTGTCATCAACATTTTGTTATCAAATTTTCTTTTGCAATTTTTGTATAATAATTATTTAGTAACTAACCCATTCAATCTTTTCACCTATTATCTAGTTTATTTTCTTAATTGTCTCCATACTCCTTCACTAACATCTAATCTTTCTAAACATGTCTATATTACGTAACCCTACTCACATCTTACCAATCTTCACCCCACTTAGTTACAACTTTGAGTATTAATCACACATTTTAACTTCTTCATTATCTTGATGATATAATCAACAACCCACACTAACTGTCATTTTGATTTTGATTTTGACAAACCTAATGTACACACACACACACAATTAATTGTATATATTTGCGACTGTACAGCTAAGTGAATGAATTCGCCGAAAAGAGACTCTTCGCTGAACTAATTTGTTCTTATTTCAAAAAGGTTTGCCTTTTCAAACAAGATGTTCTGCAGAACGACTTGTTTAGAAGACTGAACGTCACAGTAAACTCGAGAGAAGCTTTCAGACGATCGTCTGACTATTGTGGCTGAACTATGAAGTCTGGCGTCGCATGTGTTATCAGATGGAAAAAAAGTGTAAAATAGCGTCCAAACCTGGTGAGAAAAACACACCAAGATAAAATATTAAAAACTAATAGCATTCGCGAGTGGGGCAGAAGTTTATCCAGTCATAATTTATCATATGCAGTTTTAGCCCAATTTTTAATCTGGTCCGGTGAAATATGCATCGAGACTGGCCTTTACTAGAAAGCAGATAATTTCTGCAGTTACTCTGTAATTAGCTGAAATAAAGTGATTCCGTGGAAGTTGGATGGTGAATGTCTGACTCGTATATACACAGAACACAGAAGTTTAAAATTTCCACTTTATATGAGAATACTTACTGACTCACGTTCATTCTTCCTTACATTTGTGTTTCCAAAATGTTTTACAAAAATCATCATAATCATCTAAATTCCAGTAAAACACAATCCACAAACAAACCATTAGGTGATACGCTGATTTGGTTGGACGATATTTTTTTCATCACATGTCCAATGAGTTCAAAATCCAATTCAAAACTGGTATAAAACTTGCTGAGATTTGAGTGAGAAATACACTGCTGACAAAAACAAAACGTAATCATGATCTGTTATTCTGCATTATTCGTCGTTACGTTACTCCTGAATAATGCAAGTCGGCGCACTCTCGCTATAGTTCCAAAACCAACAGTTTACAACCAAGCTTCAACAGCCTGCAACCTGGTTCAAACACTCACCTACGAACACAACTACCCAACATGCTTTATACTCACAGACGCACTGACAAGATTTCGACTCCGTCTAGCATCACAGCACCCACCAATTCCTCAGGAAAGCAAAGAGAAATGTATCATAAACAAACTGAAAATTGAAATCATGGATGGATGTGACGAAAATGCAGATAAACTGTGGCCGAGTCATATAATGAACGAATCATGTGAGTCACAACACAAGAAGTATTTCATTCACCACTTTGCAGATAACGTGAATATTGAAGATACAGAAATCTCGATAAGTTCCAAAGAGGTTTGGGGTGCACTACGTGCTCTTGAAACTGTACTTCAGATGGTGTACAAAGATGAATTTGAAGGAGTGAGTTTTGTTCTTGTTGATAACTTGACTTCATCAATATATTCCATCTAGAATATGATATTTAAGGGTTCTGTGGAAGATGAACCATTATTCTCATATCGTGGAATGCTCTTAGATACCGGAAGGAATTTCTTGCCAGTTGAAATCCTACGGAAGACAATAGTAGGATATGTGATGATGTTCAGCATAGTATTTTCTGTTTTCAGGATATCATGGCTATGGTTAAAATGAATGTCCTTCATTGGCACATCACAGATGACGAATCGTTTCCTTTTGTCTCAACCACCTATCCAGAACTGTCAGACAAGGTAAGTTGAGTCAATTTTCGGCTGTTAATTAATTCCGATTCTCGTCTCAATATCAACAGGGTGCATATCATCCACAAAAGTGTACATATGATGAAATCGATGTGTCTGATTTATTGGAATACGCTCGTCTTCGTGGAGTTCGGATCATTCCAGAATTCGATACTCCAGGTAAATAAGTTTGATGGCATTTGGTATGATGTAATTATCCACCAATTGTGCCCACATGAAATAATATTATGTAAATATTTGAGTCAGTGTGATAGTGTTCTTGAAAAAATGCCGCAAATGAAACGTTGAACCATGAGTTCGGTGGAGGCAATAGGTTTGAAACTATATTTTTTTTATCATATTTTGATGACAGCTTGATGCCACACCGTATTTTCAGTACAAGTATGGAATTTTCAGCATGGATATCGGTAGCCCAAATTTTGCAGGCCAACCATAGATATCAGGTGTGCATTGGCAGGGGATCGAACCCCGGACCATGTGCATGGTCAGCTTGAGTCCAAACCACTGTGCCACCGACGCACGCAGATTTTTCAAGATTTCATGTTTGTAGTTATATTAAATCAAGGAGGTGGTGAAGCGGATTAATTCTCCGTTGCCTGACAGTTTCATATTTGACGAAAACTTTTATCGCTTCTCTGTGGAGAAAAGACCGCAGTTTTTTTTCAAATCTTTGCGGGTGTATGGTTCCATTTATTCTCTTTCAGTCGCGTCACGTAAATCAAATACTTGAATATCACTATTTAAAGTTTCAGTAGGACTTTCAAGTGCTTGATCACTGTATTTTAAGTCACAGGGATTATCGCTGAGTGAAGGAATGCAGTTCATAGGGAATCACAGGAAACGAAATAACAGTTGATTTCAAATGGTGAGTGGTATGTAGTGTTGACTGATGAACAGCCACGCCATTTTTTTCTAAGTAATATTGTCCTTCTAAAGGTTGTCAAAATGATCTTCACTGCTTGTCACAATTCTTCCTTGCAGCGCATACATTTTCATGGGGAAAAGCATATCCAGACTTACTAACAAAATGTTATTACGACTCTAAGCCAACTGGACATTTGGGTCCAATGAATCCAGCCAATGATTCTACATTTGAGTTTTTGAAGAATCTGTTTACAGAAGTCACAAGCCGATTTCATGATAATTATATTCATCTTGGAGGCGATGATATAAATTTTTTCTGTTGGTGAGTTTACTCATATTTTTTTGTCGCATTTCATTGAGAAGACACGCTAAGACATCCGGAAATTCTCAAAGAATTCTGACGGAAAACGTTTTCTTGATTTAGATGAATGCAGGTTGAATTCGTCTCATCTAGCACATTTTATCACTACTTAAAATTTATCATTTGTTTGAATCTCAGCCAAGTTGAAATGACTGATTCTCATGTTTTGTTCGCCAGGCACTTCCAAACCTCTTGAGGAAAATAGTTGAAATTATTTTTGATTTGACACTAGTAACTAGTGTGATGTGTCTAGTCCTCTCTTCGGTGCAGACTGAATTCTATCAGTCAGGTTGTAATGTGGCCACCATTCTAGGTAGCTCGCCATCACGGTGTACATTGTTTGTGACGATATTAGATGGTTGGAGGCAATCGGCCACAGGAAGCCTTGGACCTGGGTTTCGTGCTAGTTGGAACTCACCAGTCAGCAAGGCGCATCTGCAACCTTGAAGGAACTCATGTCCCTTCTGAGATTCGAACCCGCGTCACCCGGTGGGGCTACAGTCAGAGACGTTACCACTGAGCTATTCGGGGTCGCGATTGACCTCCTGTAGGACTGTGGTGGATAGAATTCAGTCTGCACCAAAGACAGGACTAGACGCATACCACTAGTTACTAGTGTCAAATCAAAATATCCACCACAGTCCTACAGGAGGTCAATCGCGACCCCGAATAGCTCAGTGGTAACGTCTCTGACTGCAGCACTGGGTGACGCGGGTTCGAATCTCAGAAGGGACATGAGTTCCTTCAAGGTTGCAGATGCGCCTTGCTGACTGGTGAGTTCCAACTAGCACGAAACCCAGGTCCAAGGCTTCCTGTGGCCGATTGCCTCCAACCATCTAATATAGTTGAAATTAAAATAATTAAGGTACATGTGAAGCGTACAGTTTGTCTGTACAACTCTTGTCCAATCATCTTTGAGTCATGATTAGTCATCAGAAACAATACTGAATGCATTGTAATTCACATTTTACAGAATAGTTATCAAGACATATTGTTAGCCTGAATGTGTTGTACACCGTGAACAGTGTATGCAGGGTTTTGTAGCAGCCTTCATAAAAAAACGGTTTGAATAAAGTTCATGTTTAACTGGTGTGAAGTAAGGGAATCTGAACTAAACAATTTGCATGTGAATGTGTGAATAATTGCAGATGATTTTTCAGCATATTTCGAATAAAATGAAACGGCGTTAATGTTGGTGGCAATTGTGAATCATTAATGTTTCTTTTGAAGTCTTCAGTTACACATATCCCTAATGAAACCACCGACAGTTTCAATAAAACATCAATAAAACGTCACACTAGTTACTAGTGTCTAATCAAACATAAACATATTTTTATATGTGTAAAACTTGGGCACTGTGGTAGTAAGTAATTCCATATTAGTTTGTTTATTAGATAGACCACACAGTGAAACAGTATTATTTACTGGATGACGTTTCGAACAAAATTTATTGTTCATAATCATATCAATTGTGATCACACGACTTTGACACTTGAGTTTTATAGCTTTCTTTGTTCTCTCCTATTTGTCGTTTGGGTAGTAGAATTTTCCAGATATCCGGGTGAACAGGTGATGAATCATTCCTATTACATGTATTTGCAGTTGATTCGATAAACAAAGCCTCCGTGTCATCAACCTCTCCCTATACTCTGTGACGTTAGATTTTAAAACTGTCATCCTATCCCATCCTATTATATGGTTGTGTGTGACTGCATGTAGTGAGTGGTATAGCTGAACTATTCTCTAGATTTCTTATTTTACTCGGGTCAACCAATCTAGATTTTGCTAGGTTTTTATGTTCAGCTAGTCTGACTGCCCCTGTTCTACTAGTTTGACCTACGTATCTGACCTGACAATCATTGCAGGCAGGGTATTAGATAAACTAAATTGTTTTGTTTGAAAGGCTCCACAGGACTTCTCCTTTAACCGACAAAGTTTGTTTCTAATTGAGTTTGTGGGTTTGAATGCCATTTTTATTCCTGCCTTGTTAAGAATTCTCCGTAACGTGGTTTCCGAGGTTCCTTCCATGTATGGAATTACTACTGATGATTTAGATTCCTTATTATTGGTGTCGTCATTAATATTATTATCATTATCACTATTATTATTATTATCATCATTAAAATCTAATGTCACAGGGTATAGGGAGAGATTGATAACAGAAGCTTTGTTTATCGAATCAACTGCAAATACATGTAATAGGAATGATTCATCACCTGTTCACCCGGATATCTGGAAAATTCTACTACCCAAACGACAAATAGGAGAGAACAAAGAAAGCTATAAAACTCAAGTGTCAAAGTCGTGTGATCACAATTGATATGATTATGAACAATAAATTTTGTTCGAAACGTCATCCAGTAAATAATACTGTTTCACTGTGTGATATACCTGATAAACAAACTAATATGGAATTATAAACATATTTTATCTTATAAGATACACATGGTCAGAATCATAAATCAGGCATGAAGATGAGTGATTCATATCTATACTACTTATTGATCAAGACCTGTCATGCATCAAAGCAGATGTGACGGTATCATTTTAACTAACTTATTGATATGATATCCTTCCATCTTATATCGTAAATATATTGTGAAACATTTCATTCCTGTTGATGGCATAAATTGCAACTCAACTGCAGAAGAGAATTATGCCACATTATTTGTTTGCTGAATGTCATACACGACTTCACTAGGAGGATGTCACTTCACTTTCAGACGCAAATAGGACTAACATGAACTAGTTCATTTCCATGAATCTAGGATCATAGATCTCACAGAAGTTGAAACTAAGTCGGATGTTAACCACCTTGCATTGTGTCTTTCCTCCAATCTTTCTTGGTCTTTCTATTTCAAGTTGGTTTGTAGAAAGATATTTCGTTCAACATTCTACGTAAAGAAGTTGAGACAGTCTGAAACTAGTGAATCCTTACTTTCAAGGTTTGATAATTCGTGTATGCTGCCCAAAAACTCCCTATCGCTCCCACTTAATATTTCTTGAGCTACTTAAGCAAGACTTTATCACACGATGTAGGGCACCAAATGTCGTCAGTATGGCAGTTGTAGGTCGACACATGGAAATTAACAAATATTAACAAATATTATCTTGTTGGACTCCTCGCGTCTTCTCTATCCAGAAACTATCCCTTTGCGTTTATCAGGTAGAATCGGAAGCAACCATAGAAAACTATGTGCTCGAACGACTAAGTATAAAAACTTCACAATACCTTCACTTCATTTAATAATAATAATAATCACTTTATTCCACAACAATAACAATTTACAGCATGGAATTTTCAGCGTTTCTTTTACATATTGCAATGGTTTAGCTCTGTTTATAATTATATAAATGTATAAAATGTTAAAATATTGATAGTTAGTAGGAAAAAAATAAAAACCCCAACAAAATCACATCATTGCGAGGTCATAGTGAATAATAAATAAATAATATAACAAATAACACATGCAATAATATGCATCATTACATTTTATAGTTTAGTTAATGATTTAAAAGTTGTAAAAGTTCTTTTCTGATATTTGTCTCTTCACACAATACTCGTGCCAAATATGGTACGGTCGAATTTTTATATTTTGTAGTATGAGCATAAATGTTTATGAAATTTCTTCTGGTCTTACCCGAAGAGATGCAAGGAAACAACTGTGAATAAAGAGGATGTTCACTATCAGACAAAATAACTTTAGCTAACCGTTTACAAGAATTCATGTGCCTATTGACAACAGTGTCGGTTAGTTGAGTCAAAGGGATAGCAATGACCCTACTTACAGCCCTCAATGTTCTTCGTAGTATTATATGGTCTTTTTTGAGTAGCCCAGGGAAGAATAATGAAGAACAATAAAGAATGATGGGCAAAACACATGAATTAATAAATTGTATGAGAAGAGATTGGGTTATACCTGAGTGCCTCAACTTCTTCAT